CTTATTCTTGTGTTCCTCAGGTATTGTGCATTGCATTGTGGGTCGCCTCCTCAGGAGAACCAGCTCCTCCTCCTCTCTGTAACTCCACCCTGGTGTTCTCCTCTGTGATCTCCTCCTCATCAGCAGGAAGCGGAAACATCCACCTTCGGTCTCTGTCGCCGTGGACCTGGAGGTCAGCCTTGTAGAACTTTCTCCTTCTGTAGTTTGCGGCTGTAATCTTGTTCCTAATTCTGACATCCGTTCTTGCAGAACCACGACAGTAAAGAACCGGATCCCTGAAACCATCTGGGAGGCCGAATGCAGCAGCGAGTTCTGTCTCTCTCCCAAACCAGGACCGGCAGGGAGTCACAATCTGAACTCGGTCCCCGTCTACCAGAGCGTACTGGTCCTGACTCGGATGAAGGGGAGTCGCTGCTACGCCGCCTCATATAAGTCTGTGGCAGTTGGCTGCACCTGTGTCCGGGCCTCTGTTGACACGAACTGATTCAATTCAACAAACAGAACCAATGAATTTTGCCCAAAACGATTTTAATGCTAAATTTAACCATAAAGTTAAATCTGAGGACATTCAGCTGAGAAACCAAATTACTGCCAAGAACCTTGAAAACATCCAAATTAAAGTTTAGTTTGATCCAGTTTCCTGTTGTCATATTGCCTGTATAAAAAGCTCCTCAGAGGTTCTTTGGGTTCTTCTGAGTTTCCTACAGACAGACATGTGTCTCTGAAGCTGGACTCCAATCAGATGGTTTTGCTCAACATCGGGTTCTGAACAGTTTCATTAGTAGTTTGGGTTACAGGAAGTCCGTTCTAGAAGATGCTAACCAGGCTTTGGAGCCATTTCCTGTAAAGCTTTCAGTCTATTTTAAACCACATGATGTTTACATCCTGAAACAAACAGGATCTTTATCATTTCCACTTGAAATAAAGAAGCTCAGCTGATCTGGGCTGAAGTTTGGTTTACGATCTGCTTTATTTTCTCTCTATTTAATTATATAATCATTTATTTAAATGTATACGGTTTGAAATTATTTATAACATGATTTGTCTCACTTTTAATAAAACTGTTTCATAAAACCAAAGCAGCAGGTGTGTTTATTGAGCAGATCAACGTCTGCTGGAATGAACTATGGTTGGAATCACCTTTTATTAAAACTCTCTCAGCATCCTATCAGATTTATTTATTTATTTGGTTTCTTAAAAATAAAACCGAGGCAAAGAAATGTTAATAAATCCTGTCTAATTCTTGTTTGGTGATGTTGTAATTGTTCTCTTCCAATTTCTGTCAATTTCTTTTTCCTTGGTTTTAATAAACCAAAGAAAACAGACTGGATTTCTTTGGTTAGGGTTAGGGTTATTGATGGAAATTACCCAAAATAAGAGTAAACGCTGAAATGCTGTGAATTTCTTTGCCCAAACATTTAAATTTAAGGCTTAAAACAATTTAAGCAGGCAGACAGATATGTGCAAACACTGGTTTTTAAAAGGTAAAATAAAACCAAAATGTGAATAGAATTAAAAATCCTCCTTCTCACATATAAAGCCTTAAATGGCCAAGCTCCATCTGATATCAGAGATCTGATTGTTCCTGATGTTCCTAACAGAGCACTTCGCTCTCAATCTGCAGGTTTCATTGCTTTCATGTTTTTACATCACATCATCTCAGGTCACTCTATAGATCCAGATCAACCAGATCATCCAGTCAGATTGATTCAAAGTTTTCTATCTAAGGAAAACCAGCTGATTGCATCGACTCATTGACTCTTCAGCAATCCCTCACACTAAGCATGCTTGTAGCGACAGTGGAGAGGAAAAACTCCCTTTGAACAGGAAGAAACCTCCAGCAGAACCAGGCTCAGTGTGAGCGGCCATCTGCTGAGGCCCACTGGGGTTCAAGGAGACAGAAGCAGACATAGAAAAAGAAGCATAGATACAAAAGGCAACTGTCAACCAGCTCCACAGGCGGCCCCGTCCCATTAGTTGTGTTTTTTCCATGTCTCTCCTTACAAATCTATAGACAGACTAGTTCTTGGTTGACCTGTAACCGTCGAGTCGCCTTGGTTTCCATCAATCCTTCTTTAGAACCATCCTGGTCTTCCTCAGGTATTGACTGATGGACGTCACCCTGATAAATGTTGCAGTACTTTGGTGCAACAAAGTTTTTTTCATTTCTCTATAATCCTCAGAACAACAACCTGGATCATTGAAAAGAACAAATGGTTACGGTTGGGTGTTCTCCACCCCTTAGAAGATCAAGCCAACCCCGCTTAACTTCTACTAATAAATCAGTAGTTGGTAGAGCAATAAAGCTATCAAGCTATCAATCCTATATGGATCCACTAGGCTGGACTGCAGCTTTAATCTATAAATAAAGTCACTATAAATCAAAATCACTATAAATATGATTTTGAACATTTTGAACTGAAAAAGCTTCCTGGATGGGAAGCGAAACATCTTCAAACTTGGAAACAAAGTCCAGCGGATGTTTTTCTTTCTTTTTTGTAATAACTATGACCTGGACGACTGAGAATCTTTAAAGCATATAAATATGGATCCTAAAGAACATCAGACTGTTCTGCTTCATGTTTTCCAGGGTTTAGCTCAGTTCTGGTTTGTCCTCTTCCTTAGTTTATGATATTTAATCAGCAGAAGTTGTAAATCCTGGAGCTGCATGAAGCTCAGGGGCTTTTGCATGTTCAGTTCAGACTAGCGCTCTGTGAGTTCAGCCCATTTTTTCTCCTCTGTCTTTTCACGTCCAAAACATTCTGCAGAGATTCTCATTTAAGCGGAATTCAGCCTAAATTCCAGTGGAAACAAGGACACAGTGTGGATCCAGTCATGTGAGGGGCAGAGTGGGACAGCAGGAGGAACCGCTCACAGCAGAACCAGCTCAGGTAGGACTGCTTCTGCCGGTCGCTGAATGAATGAGGACTTAGGCGGGTCTGACCTGCGTCAGACTTCCTGAGGTGAGTTCAGCTGGAGTTTAACTGTAGATTAATCTCAGGAGATTTCTTATCCCTGATGAGGGTTTGGACCTCAGCATGTGTTTAAGCAGGACAGGACGGATCCGTCCTCTGGGATATTCTGGATCTGTTAAATAAACAACCAGTAAATCAGCCTGAATAGTTTATAAAAAGGTCCCTTATGATGAGCTGATTAAATCTGGACCTTTTTATGATCAATAATTAAATCTAAATGATCAATTCTCCATCAGGATGAAGCGTTGGTTCATCCAGCAGAGGGCGCTGCTGGAATATTTTTAACAGTGGAGAAATTTACTTAGTTCATGGCTGAAAACTTCATCTTTGGATGTTTTCTGACGGAAAGGTTCAGGTTCCTCAGTAGAATCTCTGTAAAGCTGATAGGAACATTAAATAAAACTTTTATTTATGGAGCAAACATTAAACTAAATAAACTTCACTGCCGATGAGCCACAGGTGTGTTTTCTGACCTCTCTGACCTCTCTGACCTCTCTGACCTCTTCCATACCTGTGGACCCCTCAGCACGCCTCTGGACCAGTTTCCATCATGACGCGTTTGTCCTTCGCCACCCCGTCCGTCTGCTCTTCACTCCTCCCCTCCCTCCCCCCCACCGTCAGGGACCTGGATGTCCCGCCTCTGTTCCGGAGACGCTTCGTCCTTGGGGGGTACCGTCCGGTGGGCCAGCCGTGGCGGCTTTACCTTCAGAGCTTATTCCAGATGCACAACGACGCCTTGACTGTGTGGAGCCCCCTGTTGGCCGCTGTGGTGATAGCACTGAGGTTCATGATGTTCACCGTGCTGCGAGGGGGGGTACGGCACTGATGGGCCCCATGATGTCCTCACCTTCGTCCATCCTCACCTCTGATTTCTGTGCCTCTATAGGGGGTCTTGGGTTTCCGCCTGCAAGGTCCTGAAGGTCAGGGTCTTTCAGTAGATGTGTCTTCATTACCTCTGGTCTTCTACATGTTCTTCACCCTCACATACCTGAGCTGCAGGTGAGTTTTATTTATTTATTTAAAAAAAAGTTTGTGATTACAGCCACAGACAGGGAACTTCTTTAACCAACCAAAACAATCTGGAGCTGAGAAGACGAAGGAAAAGGACTTTTAATTTCAACCATCTGAAAAGTGTGGATTGTCTTTATATTCACCTTCCTGAGTCAGTCTAGCTGCACGAATTTTTGGGGTTTGTCTCCACCCGCTTTGCAGATCTGCAGACTGAATCTCTTGTCAGTTCTAATTGAAAACTTTGGTTCTATAAGGTTTTAAGGACCTTTTGTCAAAAACTTTAACACAAAAGCAGCAAAAATTACATAAAACAAATGGTTGACCACATTTCTGTTTGACCTTTGAACTTTCATAAATTACTTGAAATGCAACAACAGACATGATTTGAGAAACAGTCTGGGAGCGGCCATCTTTGCCCAAATATAGTAGCCCCTCCCTCCTGCCATCTTCCAGCAGTGACGTCACGGTGCGGTAAGCCTAGCGCCATTCTCCCCGCTTTCCAAGCTAAATCAATGGGAACTACTAGACACATCTGCAATCAACAACAATTATTGAAGATTTCCAGAGGACTTCACCATTGAAATTCACCAGAGCTATAGTGAAACTGACAATGCCCACGTGCATGGCAGCTGGATGCTGGAATACATCGGGTAAAAGTGAAAAAAAGAGTTATTCCACCTTTCTGATTCCTGATCCTCCACGGACGGGTTGGTCGTTGGATCGCCAACTTGAAGAGGGAGGATTTGCCATCGAACTTCTGGCCAGAGAAAAAACCCGTAATATGTAGCAAACATTTAGAAGAAGAATGTTTTCAAGATGACTTGGATAATAGCGCGTTGTGACAAACACCAGATACAGCACTGGGACTTGATCAACAGCCGATACCGCACCGTGACAATGTCACTAACCAGTAGGTGGCAGTAGTGTTCTTTGACAAACATGGATGCCTCCAGTAAAGCACATTCACATGAAAATTACTCTGAATTAAAAACACTGATCATTTATTGAACAGGATGGAATCATTTCAGATTTAAAGAACTTTCAGGAGTTTGGATTCTGAATATGAGCGACTTTTCCTGTAAATAAATTATTGTTACAGAGATGTCTCCATATTATTTACTCTGCAATGCATTCAGGTGTTTATCATGGAGTCTCGGTCCTGTAGGGAGTATTGAGGCTCTGCTGGGAACGTCTGACTGAGCCCTTGAGGCAGCAAACAGGTATCATGATGCTAACTGATGCTAAGTTGTTCGGGTGAATGCAGAGGTAACAACTTGGACAGTTCAGACCAGTTGGCCTTAAAGCAACTAGCAAGCCACCCAGAACATCAAGAGGGGGAAGCAGTGCTTTGCTAAGACTGTCTATAGTGAGAGTAAGGAGCTGATATGATCAGATGGAAGGAATACTGTGATCAAAGAAGAGATTTGGTGCTTGGACCTGGATTGATTGATTCATTACCACGACTGAAATCACAGAGGTGGTCAAAAAAGTCCATGGGGGGGGGGAAGAGATCCACCCAGAGCACCTTAGATGTTGTTGGGCTGTCATGGCTGACACTCCTCTGTAAGAGGAACATAAAGAGTGTTGTAGAATCTAACCCAAAATATGATTAACACTTAGAGTTGCCAACAATAATCCTTTAAATCAGGAGTCTTCAAGGTTTTCCAGGCCATGGACCCCACACTGATGGTGAGATGGAGCGGAGACCCCCTGATTATATATATTGTGTTCTATCAAACTGGTTCTATAGTCACTCTATTACAGATGGAGTAATGTAACTAAAGTAATCCCTCCCTGGGATTATTAAAATATTTCTGATTCCTGGTTGATGGGACAGGTGTTGTGAATGAAACGGTGTCCAGCTTGAAAGAGCTCCTGTGTGTCTCTGAATGTGAGCATTGATGACTGAAAGACATCTTCTGCCTCCATTGATCTGTTTACTACGGTCTGTTGGATTCATGTTAACGTGGATTTAAAGATATTTCAATTACTGGAAAAAACTGCAGGAGGAAATATAAAAACCAAAACTTTGGTGACCCCCATGCAGGACCTCTGTAGACCCCCTAAAGGTTGTGGACCCCCTGTTGAAGACCTCCGCTTTAGACCAACCACTGAAAGAGCTAGGCAGAGCACAAAAAAAAAAGTATTTTAAATATTGCTAATATTACGTAGCAAATACTACCTAATATTAGCAATATGTAAACTACTGAGATTTAACACATATAGAAAAAAGTTCTTTAAATGCTGAAAATCACCTCAAAATGCATGAAGACAGATTAAACCTGATTTATCACATAAACACCAACCTAGTGCCACTTCAGAGGCTGCAAATCCTTCAAATAAAGCTTATTATTTTTTACTATCTTTCGTCTTTTACTACGTTTAATTCTCAGCCTCTTCTTCTCTGTATCTTACCAACTAAAACCCGGTCACGTAGTTTCAAAGTAAAGTCCCTTAAAACAAGGTAAAATGTAAAGCATTATAAATTCACAAAAATAATGGAGGCAAAAATAATATTTTATAGTAATTTTAAACTGTAATATTTCCTGCAGCAAAACTATAAAATGGTTCATTTACAAGCAGAACGTCAGAGACTGAACTAACAAATACTGCAGAATGGGAGAATAGAGATGATGGACGGGTCCCTTTGTCCTCCGTCTGATGACTGACGGTCGATGTGACGCAATGAGCTGCTGTCTGCCTGACCTTTGACCTCCTCTGTGTTGCAGTGCAGCTGCTCACCTTTTGAAGCTCCACTCTGAGCGAGCTCACTACCTGCTCTTCCTCCTCAACAATGTGGGCGGGGCCATGTACCTGTACTGCTGCACCTCTGCACTTTACCTCTACAGCACCGACTACACCTGGACACAAAGCATGCTGGGAAAGGTTGGGCTGTTTGGTTACCCTGGGTAAACAGTGGATAAAGGCTGGACAGCGTTATCTGAATCCTGCTGATTAGAAGATAGATGCTGATTAGATGTAGAATCAGTTGCTGGGAAATGTGCGTTCCTGGTTTTTCCAGACGGTGTTTCTGGTTTCAGATCTTCCTCCCGGCTGCAGCGTTTCTCTGCTGGACCTCCTGCTGCGTCTCCTGTCATGTTGAGGTCCGTTCCTTCTGGACGAGCAGGTTCCACAGGAGGCTCTACAGCCTGACCATGATCACTGCCACCGGCCCCGTCGCTCACCGCCTCACCAGCAACAGCTGGGCAGGCAGCCCTGCAGCTTCACTGCATCTCCTCCAGGTGGCGCTCACCATGAAGGCTCTCATCTAATTGCTGCTTAATTAAGAATAATAACTGTCTAAATTCTGATTAGGATTAGATAAGATCAGGTTAGACTTTATTGATCTCATGACGTAGAAATTCTGTTGTGAGATCGGCTCTGAAAACAACAGAAAGTGTAAAATAAGGAAAAGGTGCATCATAGAAGTACATTTACAGATCTATATTGAGTTTGATGATATTTTAATCTGTCCACCAGATGGTGCTGTCCCTGTTTGCAGCCTTCTTCTTCTCCTGCTCCTCACCTGAGTGTTTGTCCCCGGGCAGCTTTGATCTCCTGGGTCACAGCCAACAGCTCTTTCATGTCCTGCTGTCACTCTGCGTCATGGTCCAGCAGGAGGCGCTGTTCTGCGACTTCCTGTGGAGACGCCCTGCGCTGTCCCGGCTCTTTGGGGAGGAGCACCTCCTGCTGGTCTGCAACTCCTTCTGCTGGTTGACCTTCTGCTGCGGCGTAACGGCGCTCGTCCTGAGCAGCAGAGTTTGGACTCGGCTCACCACAGAAGAAGAAGGGTGACGTCGTATTTTAGGTAGTTTCCCAATAATCATACTTCCACCCTTACATGTAAGGGTTTGGTTCTAACTGAACTGTAGGTGGGAATAAAAAACTGTTGCTTGTTACACTTTTAAAGTATTTTTTGCAGTAAGATCACAGTGACGGCTCCCGCCATTTTGGATGTCCCAGACGCCATGATGTAACCTTCACTCTCCCAACTCTGGACTCTGTCCTTTAACGAGGACATTCACTTCATTAAGGGACAGAGTGTGTAGTGCGGGCACTGGGACAAGTCACTGCTTTCCCATCACAGATCAATAAACCAGTGAGATGTAACTGGTTCTGATGCTTTAACTGCATACTTTCCCACAGTCCACACACGTCGGCCATCTTGGATTCTGCTGTTGGGGTGGAAGGGAGACCCCCCGGTTTAAAATATCAGAGCCCAACAGGAATAAATACACCTGAACTAAATTGAATGTTTTAACCATTTCATTGTTTCTAAGCGTGATTTTTCTTTAAACAACGAAATTAATAATTAAAGTGACCAATATTACATGAATAAAATATATTTAAATTCCACACCTTTGTTTAGACTTATTATATTTTAACCAGTATTGTTGTTTTAGGTGGAATTTGACCCATTTGGTCTGATTTTAGATCTATTTGTTCGGGTCAAGTCAGGACTTGTTGTTTTAAGGTCTCACGAACTGTACATGAGTGAAGTGTTCCCGCCTCTAACTCCTGCTGATCTTTGAGGGACATACAGGAATTATAAAACGGTGATTAAAAAACAACAACACAGGAATGACTCAGCTGCAGAGGAAAATCAGCAGCTGGCTGCTCTCATGTTTCCTTGGGTAGAGAGAGCCAGACCTTGAGAGAAACCTGGAAGACCTGGAGGAGGTTATTTTGGAGAAAGCAAAGGGACCTTCTCAGCACTGGGCTGTTCCACACAAGCTAAGCTGCTAAAGAGAGTTACATATTAGATAGAAAACTTTGGATCAATCTGACTGGATGATCTGGTTGAACTGTAAAGTGCCTTGAAATGACTTGTGTTGTGAATTTGGCGCTATATAAATAAACTGAATTGAATTGAATTGATATTAGCATGCCTTCTAACAATGTAAGTCTAAGATTTAAGATTTATATCTAAGATATAAGATATAGATTCAGATTTACGTTATAAGATATGAATATACAGATATAAGAAAAACATTTAGATTTAAGATACATACTTAGCTTTATATTTAAAACTGTAAGTGGTGTCAGGTGCAAACGTTCGACCAGCTACGTTTTGGTTGAGGGTTTTAACTGACTGTCTCTCCGTGAATACTGGGTCCATCTGTCCTCGGTTCCTGACACACTCTTGCTAACTGATGGTGGTCAGAGGGCCCGGCGTACGCCAGCATCGCTCCAGTCAGTGAGCAACAGGGAAGCTGTGGCTCTAACGTTTCCTCCGTGTCCCTGTGGTTCTGACGTCCCCTCCCTGTGGCTCTAACGTTTCCTGCCACCATGCATGACTGAC